CTGGCTAAGGTCGAGTAAAGCTATAAAGGACTGTCAGTTGAGTAACCGCATTGAATTTGATTTAAATTTCCTTCTTAAAATTAATTTATTTATAGGATGAAATTTTATTTATATTGGTCATTGAAAACGGCTACATTACTATTATTCAAGTTCAGTACAATTTAAAATGTATCAATAAACAATGCATGAGTTGCTTTTAGCTAAGGTCGAATAAAGCGATGTTGGAATGTTAGTTGAATATGACTAAACCCAAGAATGATTTATTGCTTTGAATTTGATTTTAAATTTGCCTTCTAAAATATATTCAAATCTAAGAAGAATTGTAGTTATATTTACCGTTAAAATCGGCCACAGCGCTGTGAATAGATGTGAATAGATTTTAAAATCTAGCATTAAATAATAAATAACAGATTAATTCTGCTGAGGTCGAGTTATGCGATGAAGGACAGTTAATTATCTTACACCATTATCTATAATGAGTTACCGCCGTCCATTTGATTTGCATTTGCTCCCTAAATCAATTCACATCTAAGATCATGAGGGCACACTGTACCACATGTAATTAAGCAAGTCAAAAATTGTGACAGTGACAGAAGAAGAATTTTTCCACAATGGTATGAGTTGAGTTGGGTGAATACATCTCATATTACTGATTCACTGGTAGTCACAAAAACAACATTTAATTGAAAAAATAACTGCCTTTATTCCATTCATGAAGCAAAGTATTATCATATCAAAGTGTGCAATTGATTTTGGTATGTTGTGAGATAAGCTTTTATTTTTATGACAAATGCATCTTGAGTTCATTTAAATGTCTATTCACTATACACGTTATAACCATCATTACGATTACTCAAGGTCAACACGCGTCTGCTTTTGTTGATAAGACTTTTTTTATTTTTGGTCTCAATGCGAGACAAACAGAATGAGCTGAAAGTACAGAGAAGTGACTATGATCAGAAACAATACAAGAAAAGACTAGTTGCATCGTCTACTTTTTGCAGGCGGTTCAACTCCCTCTCTTTCCTTCAGTCTATTAATTAAGCACAAGTAATTTTTGCTTATCTTCTTGCCGGTATTCCTTATATAAAATATATTCTATTCGGTTTATTTCGATGGCTTCTCTCATTTGACGTTTAGTTGCAGACACGCCTTAATCAGCAAAGCGACCAGTTTGAGACCACCCAATATCATATCCCGTTTCCGGCCTGTGCCCAGGCAGCTCCGTTTTTTTAACCCAACAGTCTTTGCAGGTCTCGAATCTTAGTTACAAAAACAAAGTTTGAAGTTTGAAAATGTATGAGTATTCGGAGCATAAAACTAGCGGATAGAGATCACTGCGACATTGAACTGAATCGGCTTAAAATAATATTTCTTGAAAATAATTATCCGCTAGGCTTGATTGAATATAACATTAGATTAATAAAGAATAGCTTTTCGAATGATGAGACCTTTTCTCATGTTTTGTCTTTACCTTCGTTCATTCTCTCTAAAAGGAGAAGTAAACAAGTAAGGAAGTGGGGAATAAAAACGGTTTCAGGGAAACTACAACACTTACTTCAGTTATGCCCACTTTTAGAGAAAAAGTTGACCCATTATGCAGATCGGGTTGCTACAACATAATGTGTTCATGTGTTCGCTTTTATGTTGGAGGGACTTGTCGTGCCATTCGACAAAGGGTGGCTGAGCACAAAAGCGCCTGCAAAGACTGTTGGGTTAAAAAAACCGAGCTTGCTGCGACTAAACGTCGAATGAGAGAAGCCATCGAAATAAACCTAATAGAATACATTTTATATAAGGAATACCGGCAAGAAGATAAGCAAAAATTACTTGTGTTTAATTAATAGACTGAAGGAAAGAGAGGGAGTTGAACTGCCTGCAAAATGTAGACGACGCAACTAGTCTTTTCTTGTATTGTTTCTGATCATAGTCACTTCTCTGTACTTTCAGCTCACTCTGTCTCTCCCGCATTGAGATCAAAAACCACAAAAAGGCTCATCCACAAAAGCAGACGTGTGTTGATCTTGCACAATCGGAGTGATGGCTTTAACGTGTATGTAGAAAGGTGGAAATATTTGTGATGGAACCTTGAGGCCCGAAGACAGACTTTAGTTTTGTTGTTCTAATTACTTTGATCAATCTCTTCGGGTTTCGTGCATAAGTGAGCACAAACATACACATTCACATACAGAGACAGACACACTCACAGGCTTGGAAGTTGACATATGACATTAACTAAACGAATCACTTTATAATTGATCAAACAGGCCAGATGTAGATTATATATACCACTTTTTAGGGATTTTCCGGAGAGTTTTCTTGACTCGTAAGCTTGAATTATGTTGTGACGATGATACTTTGCTCTGATGATGTTCATCATATGACGGACGAGAGGTTAGCAACTTTTCACCGGAATCGAATGACATTACCTCTGAAACAGCGTGAGCATGAATGTTCCAGTAAAGCCAATTGACTGCTGGTTAAGAGGAATCCGCTGTCGTCTTCTGGTGGAATCGACCTTCGAATCTATTCACCGAACACTTTCATTCGAAATGGA